TTTGAGTCTAGAATTGTACAATAACACTTTCTGGCCAACTTCAAACTCTCGCCTCTGAATGTGTAAATCATGCCATCTCTTGGTGCGCTCCTTGATCAACTTTGAGTTCTCGTAAGCTTCCATTCTCAGCTCATCCAATTCATTAAGTTGCAGCAATCGTTTTTCACCAGCAGCTTTGAGATCCATATTCAACTGTTCATAGCCCAATATGCTCGGTGCTCCAACTCCAACGGTAGATGACACGCTTTCCCAAAAACCAGGCGGTATGAAGACATTCCTATTGGTGTCTTAAACGTTGTCCTGTAAGCCCACAGTGTATCGTCCAACTTCTTAGACCAATCTTTTTGGGATGAGTTCACTGTAACTTCCAGTATTCTCTTTAACTGCCTGTTCGAAACTTCAACTTGCCCATTGGTTTGTGGATGATATGGAGTTGCTACTTTATGTTTCACCCCATATTTGTTCAACAGCTGCTCTAATTGACAATTTATGAAATGTTTGCCTCCATCACTTATTATCGCCATCGATGTACCATATCTTGTAAATATGTACTTCTTCAAGAACTCTATTACCACTTTTGCGTCGTTGGTAGGCAATGCAACAGCTTCCACCCACTTAGAGACATAGTTAACGGCCACCAAGATGTATTGATTTGAGTACGATGGGGGAAAAGGTCCCATGAAGTCTATTCCCCATACATCAAATATTTCAACCTCCAAGATGTAGTTTAGTAGCATCTCATTTATTCTTGAGATATTTCCAGTTCATTGGCATCTATCGCATCTCTTCACATACTCGAATGTGTCTCTGAATAAAGTAAGTCAATAGAAACCTGACTGTATGATCTTTGCAGCAGTCTTTGAAGCTCCAAAATGCCCAGCATATGCAGAAGAGTGACAATGCTCTAGAATTTTCGGTACTTCATCTTTAGGAATACATCTTCTGACTATTTGATCTGCGCCTCTTCTGTAGAGAATGGGATCCTCCCAAAAGTAGTACTTCAGCTCTGTGAAGAACTTCTTTCTTTGATGGCTAGAATACTCGGGTGGAGAAATGGACTTAGCAAGGTAGTTAACAATATCAGCGTACCATGGGACTTTTTCTACTCCTAAATTTTGCTCATCTGGAAAGATTTCATTGATATCAACTGACATCTCAGGTTCATCCCATTCCAATCTTGATAGGTGGTCGGCTACCACATTTTCACTGCCCTTCTTATCCTTGATCTCAATATCAAACTCTTGCAACAACAATATCTAGCGGATCAATCTTGGCTTAGCATCCTTCTTTGTCATAAGGACTTCAGAGCGGCATGATCTATGTAGACAATGACCTTAGACCCAACAAGATACGATCCGAACTTGTCGAATGCATAAACCACAGCTAGCAATTCCTTCTCGATTGTCGCATAGTTGATTTGGGCGTCGTTCAAAGTTCTACTTGCATAGTATATGACATGAAAGATTTTATTCTTTGTTTGTCCCAATACCGCACCAACTGCATGATCACTCGCATAGCACATTAGCTCAAAGGGCAAATCCTAATCAGGTGACACAATCACAGGCGCTGTTGTTAGTTTTTGCTTCAAAGTATTGAACGCTATCAAACATTCCTCATCAAACTCAAAAGATACCTCTTTCATTAGCAAGTTGCACAGAGG